CACACTCTACATCATTGATCACATTCCTCTGTGGCCCCATAATCTCCTTGATCAGAAAATTTGTGACACCACTAAGTTCCAGGATGTTACAGTACAGGTTCACTTATGTCCTGAGTCCTCACTGACCGTGAATGGCTAGGGCCTTTCAAGTCCTCGCTGTCCTTGAAGCCCTTCTTTTTACTAATTTTTGGTCTGCAAACTTAAGTTGTTAACCCTCCAGAAGAGAAGCTTAATGATATGTTTACCCTATAACATAGGCAGTTGAGCTTAGCCTCACCATCTGTCTGAGTCTCAAACATCTTAGCCATAACATGGAATAGGTATTTTCCATCAAATATTGATATGTTAAACTTTAAATCCCTACAGAATGTGAAGAAAAAAAAAACCAAAAAACAGGAGTAAACAATTACATATTTTTACACAGAAAGCAATGTCTTCATGACATGTGGTTGAAACTATCCTATGGTGAGTGCTGCTGTGTGTGGTCTACCCAGTGGAAGGGCAGGTTGAAGAAAACATTACAATGTGATCTTTATCTACCTTATTCATAAGATCCGGCACCCTGTGACTTCTGACTCTTTCCTGAAGCCAAAAAGATTATTAAAAGTAAAAGTTCTGACTTGACTCAGAACATTGAGGCAGCTGCAACAGTGTTACTAAAGATATGATAAAGGACTTCCCCAGTGGTTTGAGGAAGTGGCAACAATGATGGTGTTGTGGTTTTGATCTGGAATGTTCCCCAAAGCCTTATGAGCTCAGAGATGCCACTTATGGGAGGTGGTTGGATTATGGTGATACTATAACCAATTTGCTATTAGGAGGTAGGTCCGGGTTGGAGGCAGATCACCAGCGAGTAGTGTACTGTCTCCCTCGACTCCTTCCCTCCTCTATCTGCTTCCTAGCTGCTAAGACATAGCTAGCTTTATTCCACTCAGGTCCCTCCACTGCTGAATCTGGATGGAAACTTTTGACCTGTGAGCCAAAACAAACTTCTTTATGTTGCAGGTGTCTGGTAGTTTTATCCCAGTGACAAGACAAGTGAGTAAGATAGCTGTTAGCGTCAGGGAAGTGGAGTCCTTTCTGTGGCTGTATCTAACCATCTGATTTAGAAGCCTTTGGACCTGGTTTGCAGGAGCTCAGAAAGATTTAGAGATGCTGGCTAGAATGCCGTGAGCTGAGCTAAATGGGAGATTCGGATTAGAGCTCAGCTGACCACAGCTCTGATAAAAATGCAGACAGTTAAAGGCAGGTTCAGGAAGTTTCAGCAGGACGCAAGGACTCCACTGTTAGCTGGGCTCGAGGCCATATGCATTATGCTCTGACAGAAAATGTGCTAACATTTTGCTCATGTTCTGAGACTTTATGGGAGGCTGAGATTGAAGGCAGCAGAGTTACGAACCTGGAAGAGGAAATCTCAAGGCAGCCCAGCAGTCAGGCTGTAGTCTGAGTACTGCCGGTGGGCTTTTAGCAAGATTTATATTGAGAAACAGGAACAAAAGTCCCACTTTTTAAAAATGTTTCCAGAAAGCAAATCTTTGTGCACCAGAATTGTTCTTAAACCTATGTGAAAGGCTTAAACTACAAGGCTTATGAAAGAATACAGCCAAAAACATTTGCTTCAGTTAGGCACAGACTTCTTTGATGTAAAAAAGCAAAAACAAACCAAAAAAGCTTTTGACCTAAAAAGTTTTGCTCTTCAAAAGACACTGGAAAATGAAAAGGCAAACCTCAGACTGAGAGCAAATACTCTAAGACATATATATGATGACGGGCTTGTATGCAGACTGCATTGAGAAGCTTTACAACTCAATAATAGACCAGTTGACCCAAATTATTCAAAATATGTAGGTGTGAACTTATTTTTCCAAAGAAGGTAAATAAGCATGTAAAAATATGAAAATTAAAATGTTGATGAGATACCACTGTATTTTATATCATTAGAATGCTTAAAATTAAGATTGAGGAAACTGCATGTGTTGGGCACCCGGGGAAAGTTCTACTTGGAGAAGGTTCTGGAGGTGGGCTGGTTGAAGAACTGTACAGTTAACACCAATGAAATTTATTACATGTAAATTATTATTACAGGACAGCTAAATGTACAAAATGAACATATAATCCAAGGCTCTAGTTGCTCTGTAAGCAACTTCATCAGAGAACAAGAACTTGGCACATCCCAGCCTCTGTGTCACAAGATCTCTCAATCTAGCTTAGAGATTGAACAGAATCTAATCCCAGTAACTACAGTGTGAAAAGATCTCTGTCTTGGAGTTCCTTTGTTGATTTTTTTTTTTTATGTATTTAGTACAAGGTCTACAGTGTCTCACTACACAGATCACAGTCATAGTGATCCTCCTGCTTTCAGCCTTCAAAGTGCTGGGATTACAGGCACACGCCACCAGGCCCAGTCTCAGTTGCTGTCTCAGAGCACCCAAGGGGCAGGGCCAGCACAGCACCCCAGGGATAGAACCCTGGCCGCTGTGCTCTGCCTAAGCAGGCGCTTTATCCTCTGAGCTATCTGGTCAGCCTCTTTTGTTGAATTTGGATAGAAATCACAAACTGGCACACAGTGCAGCTCCCTTGATGTTAGCAACTCTTATGTCGTGAGGGCCAGTACCTCTTAGCTGTTGGTGCTGTAGCGCCTGGGGTTGCTGTCCATCCCACAGGCTCTCCAGGAGCCAGCGTCCTTGTCGGCTTTCAGAAGCTCTCCCAGTTGCATTTTCTGTCTTTGTAGGACTTTTCCTTCAGTCTCCAAAAGTCTCTGAAGGTCATTGCAGGTCTCTGCCTGTTTCCACCAGTTTCTGCTGTTCTCTGTTGTTCTTGGCGCCCCGTTGTTCCCTGGAGCTCTTTGGGCCTTCTAGCCTCTACTGTTGCCAGCTCTTTTTAGTGTAACCAACTCAGCCCATGCTGTGTGAGAATAACAACCCTGAGTCAGCAATAGGACCAGTAAAAGGCTTCTGTTAGGACCTATGCCACAGCACTGGAGGGCGGCGCATTGAAGAGAGCCCTGACTGAAGGACCGTGAGAGAACACTACTTATGCAGAGGATGACAGGGAGGCTTGCAATCTTCTGCATTTTGTGGGCCTATTTGGAGACTTTTAAAATAATGACAAAGGGAGGCAGGATCACCTGGAGGTTGCAGAGTAGGGTCATCTATGATAGCACCACATGTCAAGCTAAGCGCAACGAAGGCCAGTACCTCCTGCAGTGGCCATGGGGTGTCTGGGGCCGCCTCACCTGGACAGTGACAGCTCCCTTGACTGGTAGCTCCTGTGTTTCTGGGAAAGAAAAAATGTTGGGGCTGAAATCGTGACTGCTGCTGCTTTTGAAGCAAGGGCAGCAGTGTTGGTTATGGCCTACTGGGGCTTGGGGTTTTAGAGGTTCAGCAGTGTGCCCCAGTCTTTGCCCTGCCAGGTGCAGTCCTGGGAGTGAGCTAGGTAGCTGCTAAGGGAGGGGACTGTAGAGGTGGCTGGCAAGAAGACACCGGGGGTTTCACCTCAGGGCCACCTTTGGGGGCCAAACAGGAAGCACAGGATGGCTGTCAAAGGGATCCTACCCCATGGGAAGGGCTGGGTCTCATTTACCTATCCCACCTACAAATGCTATTATTTTGCCATTTCAGGTGCTTAGAAGAGCATGTAGCAGAGATTTGTGTCCAACAAATGGAACATATCGCAGACGTTTGCCAGCATGAGCTCCTCCACCCAGAAAGACAAGCACTTTGGTGAACATTCCAGGTTTGCCAGCAAAGTGAAGAAAGGTCTAGTGAATTTAAATAACGTATGCTTTTGGGAGAAGAAGAGGGCTCCTGAGACACGTTAATTTTATTTTTTATGTATTTGTACAGGGTCTAACTACGCAGCTTGGACTCATAGTGATCCTCCTGTTTTAGCCTCCCCAGTGCTGGGATTACAGGCGTGTGCCACCACAACCAATCTTGGTGGCCCAGTGTGCCTGGGGTGGGGCCAGCACAGCATGGGTGTCAGGGATTAAACCTGGGTCCTTGCGCTTGCCTAGGCAGGCGTTTGGACTGCTGAGCTATCTCCTTGGCCCTGAAATGCTAATTTTAGAATATAAGAGTACAGTGGGTGGGAATATTGTACATCGGGGGTTGTAGC